AATAAAGCCCATTTGGTGTACGAAGCGTGACACGCATTTATTTATTTTTCGGTTTAAATGTCGCCGACGGGTGCTTAATGAAATAATCAAATTTAATTGCGGTCGGCTGTCGGTTAAATGCAATTTTTGACGAAGTGTTGCAGAGACGCTATGGCTCAAGTGGTGACAAGCACTGATGTTTATCTTGGCGAACAAAAAAACAATATTGTTCTTTTTTAGAGTGATGGCAAACACGTTTAACAATGTTCGTCTTTTGTCTTTTTAACAATTTCTGAAGAGAATGACTTTCTGTTGACTTTTCACTAACAAATTGAAAAGAAAAACCGTTGCTAATGTGTGGTAAAACATCTTAAATACGTGAAAAAAGCCAACCACATTTCCTCCATTTAGCAAAAGTGCTTATTGTCTAAGATACGCAATTCGAATCACGTCCGATCATTCGGTAACGATGGCTTGACCCGGGCGACTTTTTTCCGGAACCGACAATGTCATTGGATTCAATGCTACCAAGTTGGAATATAGCACCTTTTTTTGTGTGGGCTCTCATTTCATAATAATAAAAACAATTAAAAGGCACACTGTTACACCAAACAAGTGCACTCTCTCGAAATTGATATATCAATTTGGTAAACAGTATTTGCTACACACTGACTATCGACAAATTATCCATAACAATAAAAAAAAAAGGTGTTCGAGTGAGCGATTACATAAGGGTTCAATATGGTTTTTGTTTGCATTCAATGTGTTGCGTGCATTGTACCCATAATGCATTAAATCACAATCGACATATGACACTGAATAAACTGGATCGTTGACTTTTCGATTGAAATACATGGGTGTGATGTATTCGATTGAATAATAACATAAACATAACATAATTCACGACTAATACCGTTGCTAATCGTTTTTGATGGTGTGTCTGTGTCGACTTTTTGGTGTGTGTTTTCTTCGGGTATTGAATAATCGATGCTAATCCGGTCACAAAGTTATACCCAAAATTATGAAAATGAACTTCTTTTTCGGTACCTGATTTTTGTCTGACAATAAAGCATCTTTTGTTCGGCCGGGTTTTCAGATCGTTCTGATGCATCATTTGAATACAATTTTTTTTAAAGAAAGTAGTTCGTCGAATGTGTCATAAAATATTCATTAGAATAGGCACATTTTTTCACTCTAATTGCAAGGCTTGTATTGCAACAAGCTAAAGTACACATGATCATAAAATATATATGAAAATAATCCAATCTGTTTTAGCTTATGAAACCTTTTTTTGGAAGCCTTAATTACGAATTTGGGCGATCATGACAACGATGCAATTTTCTAATTTTTCATTTTTTTTGGAAGAGACAAATAAATATTTACCAACATGGTTCTGTGGCACCAAGACATATTTCATTTAATTTTCACGGAATTCAAGTCATGTCTTGATGCTAAAATAATGATGTCAAATTGTGCTCGAAAAAAAATGATGCCAAAAACTCATTGAAATCTTTCTCTCTTTCTTAGTATGCAATGTGGTTCAACTCCAAAACAAACATATGCTTTGTAATAGCAAAATATGCACGCAAAAACACATGAATCCGTACGATACGGGAAAAATGCGACATTTTTTTCATCATTGAGTCTGGTGTGAATGTTGTCAATAGTGGTGCGCATATGTCCAGCAAAAATAAAAGAAAAAAAACAAAGTTCGGACTAGTTTAACAGCAACCGACGATATATGGGCCAATTGCATTGATTTGAATGTCGAACGCAAAAATCGTTCAGAACGAAGACGAAAGTGTGTGTTGTTCGGAAATGGAGTGTGAGTTAAAACGAGAAGAACGACAGAGAAGAGATAGAAAATCGACTAGAATGAGCAATAAGACGGGATCTACAAAACTTGTAATTATGCTCATGAACGGCTTATGCATGAACAATAGACGTGCATGCTATTGTTTCGATGTGGAAAAATAATATAGAGTTTTTGTCATTTTGAAATATCCGCATTTGTTGAACTGTCTCTCTCTTTCTCTTTGTGCTTTTTGCTCTGATGTGTGTGTGTGTGTGCATAAAATGGACAATACTGCATTTTCTCTCTGTGTCTGCTCTAATCCCTTGCTGTATACAAAAGCACCAAAGAAATGGCAAACCAAGACAGAATACTACTAAAACACTTGTGTGTTTGTGTGTGCTTCTCTATCTTCTGTCACTGTTGCTCCTTCATTGGTGCCTAATGCGATTGGTGTCTTTTCAATCGTCACTCGGTCGAGAGACGAAAGAGGTGTAAGCGGGTATAAGAGTGCAAACAATATAGTACTTTCAGTCAGTTTGTAGATAACACACGAACGATACACAGTGACGTACATGCGTAATCTAATTGACACACAATTTAACCGCACATTTTTAATACATCGCCAACAATTTTAACGTGTTTTTACCAAATTTAAAATAAAAAAGATTTTTTTTGTGTAATTTTTGTTTGAAAATATATTCGTACCAATGAACGCCATGGACGCAATCGCAATGATGAACCAAGGGATTCTCATGAAAAATATTAAACATGGTAAGTTTTTTTTTTTGATAATTTATTTTGTGATGAAGGTTTTTTTTGCGAGAGAAGTGTTAATTGTAATTGAGAAAGATAGGGAATAGAGTGGTGTTGGTTTTTTTTTTCAAATATTGAGTTTTGTGTATATTTTCGAAAATGTTTTAGCGTACATTTTTCGCCGGATATAGGCGGATTTAGTTGAAAAATTGGTTTTTTCACTTCCTTTGACACAAAATGACGTTTCGTGCGATTTACAGTTTTACATAAGTTTTTTTGTTGTGAACAAATTCAATCAAGTCACATAGTTTGGCATCATTGACAATGCCAATTTCCAACTCTTTCCACTCTTTCCACAAACTCATTTCCACTGTATTCACGGACACATCAATTTTGACTGCTTTTGAATTATAAAATTTTGTTTGCTCATCCCTTGACATAAGAAATGTCTATTTTCTGTTTGAAGAGAATTTTCAAAAAAAAAAAAAATGTTTTCTCAATTAGTCTCTGCGATCGCCCCTCTCACCTCAAACCATGTATGATGTTTTTGTTGCTTTTACTAAAATTGTACTATTTTTTATTCTAGAATTGTCTGAAAAAAACAATACAAATCAATTTGGCGACGCCTACTCCGAAATTTTACCGATTGATTTATCACGTCATTGTGATTCGGTAGAAACGCGCAAAACTCCGTCGCCATACTCATCCGGTTTTGGTGAAAGTTCACCGAGTCAAATGAACGAATCGCCCAGCTCATTGATGAAGTCATCAAGTAATTTTAGTGCCTCCGTAATTACACACAACCGTTCTGATACGCCACCAAGTCACTATCATTCGAGTCAATATTTGCAGCGCACATATTCATCAAACTCTGACGATTCATCACGATTTGCATACAAAACAGAGCGTTCACCCTCTCCACCGGAATCGATGCATCACCGTTATATGCATGAACAATCGATAAATGGCGGTGCCGATGAAATTAATCCATATATTTTGCATGCGGTTGCCATACAGCAAAAATTACAAAGCATTCCGGCAACAGTTTCAACGAGTGGTCAATGTGACATACAATCATTTCCAATGGTGATGGGTCGTGATGGAAAATTGGCACGTCCATTCAAGGCCTATCCACGGGATCCGTTGAGTATCACCACAACACTTCCATCAACCGATCCGTTGACAGATCGTGTGTCCACCGAACGATTCAATATATTTCGTCAACAAATGCTCGATCAAATTCATGCAGCCAACGGTGGACGGCCCACAATAACAAATCCAAAAATGCGACGCAATTCAATAAAAATTGAACGAACATCGAACGAATTCCAAATACAACAACAGCAACAACCGCAGCCAGAACAAATGCAGCAGCAACAACAACAAAAGGCTGTCGATCTATTTGCACAAGTCAGTAGCCAATCAGATGAGTCGGTCAACAACAAAAACGAAGCGGCGAAAGACAATGCCTATTATGAACGACGTAGAAAAAATAATGCAGCCGCAAAAAAATCACGCGACCGACGACGCATTAAGGAAGACGAAATTGCCATTCGAGCAGCTTTTCTTGAACGAGAAAACCTTGAACTGAAAATTGAACTCGCCACCGCAAGACGGCAATTGGCCAATATTTTAGAGAAAAAGTAATATTAAGCGGACACTTTTAGGAATTATTTGCAAGACTAGAAATAAATCTAGATATGTTAGATATGTCACTGTGTTATCAATAGATTTTAATCACTTAATACCGAAGTACTTTTTGTAGGACATTGTAAAAGCGATGTATGAAATTCGCGCTTAGAATATAGGGATCGAAATAAAATAATTTTTTTAGGGACATTGAAAATGAATACACATTCTTTTTATTGAATCAAATACATTTTTTAGCGCTTTTACTTTGGTGAATTGACTGGCATGCATTAAGGTAATATATTTGATTTTTCAGGCTATTTTTTGCAGTATTTTTTTCAATGATTTTTGTCAATTGAATCTATTTTATGACCAAAGGCAATAAATTTGTCTTTGATTTAATTTGATATTATTATTCTGGAAATTCGGATTTTTTCTGTGCACTTTTTTCTCCAACTTTCTTCTTATTTTCGATCGAATCATACAAATTACTTGCTGCTTTTCCAAAGAAAAATTAGCTCAAACTAAGTGGTCGTGTTGCCTTTAGTACCTGCAACATATTGTGCCGTAACATTGGACTCATTGAATTCTGCTTGTTGATTGAGGCTGGCTGCGATATTTCCTTGCCCAAATGATACAAGTCAGCGAAAAATCGATGCTATAAGAGAAAAAAAAATATTGTGACTGTGGAATTTTATTTCAATTTTTTTTTTGCTTATTTTTCTACTTTCATTTCGAAATTTTTATTTTAATAGTTTATTTGTTTATAACTTTTCCGCACACATCGAGCGTGTATACATTAGAATAAGGTGCTGCATTTTTCGTGAATTTTGCAGTATTATATCGCCACTAAACGTAACCGATGCAAAACGATCATATATCTATCCCATAAAGGATGAAATTGATGTTAAAATTTAAAAAATTAGGACTTTTTCTTTAATTTGATTAGAATGTTTCAATTCCAAAGATTTCAAAATAAACATTGAGAATTTCCAATTTTGAATTTGTTTTCACTTTTCAGGCAATGAAGAAGTGCAAAAGGTCATGATTGATAATAAAGCAGATGAAAATGCAAAAGCGAAACCTTGAGCTAAACACTGACCACGTGAAATGGATACTGCT